CGGCAGCACCGTAGCTGCAGCGGGGAAGCTGAAGCGCGGCCGCGGGCCCGGCGGCGGCGGAGTGAGCTTCCGCCCACTTTCCCTCGTGTTTGACGGGACACGCCCTGCTAGGCTGGTGGGACTCAACAGTATTTGAAACAGTCACTGTTGAAAGATTCAGGTTTTATACAAAACAAGAGACAGAGGACTGAAATACTGAGACACATTCTGCCTCTCAGGTTTATTTTTTACCACAACCGTGTTTATTTGAAGTTTAAAAGCCAGCCCAAGACTGAAGAGGTGTGGGTCCCAGTCGGGTGATGCGCGTTCTAACTGACACTTAGCTCTGTTTCTGCAGACTGTCAATGTTCCTTGAAGAGTGCACTTAACGTTAGGGGGGGGGGTGTGGAGAAGGGGAGACAGACCGGGAGGGGGAGGCTGTCAAGTCCTGCGCTAAGGAGCAGCCGGGGAGTGTGTTATCAGGGGTCTCTGATTTTGATATCACGGTTTTTCTGTAGATGTACATTTTGCAGACGTTGTGTTGTTGAGTCACATACTATTAGGAACCAGTTTACGGTTTATGCATCTGTCTGCTTTGCTCCGGACGTAAAAGCCATTTACTCAGCTCCTTGCCTTAGAGAAATTAAACACAGATCCAAGAAGCCTTTGTATTTAATTGACCTCTGCACTACTACCTTTTTCATTTTCACTCAGCAGCACTTAGGAAGGACGCAAACAGGAAAGGGGGTTATGAAAGGTAATTTCAGTGATAGCTACTATTAATTTAGGAACTGCTCCCAAAGGAGGCACCACACTAACACTTTCCACTTGGTAATTCATTTAATTCTTACAGCTGTCCTGTGAGGTAGGCTTGTTGCTGTTTTCCAGATGAGGAGGCTGAGGCCGAGAAAGATTAATTCAGTTGCCTAAGCTCACACAGCTAGGGTGGTGGATGGTCTGATGCCAGAGTCCATTCTCTTAACCACTGTGTCACTCTTTGTCAGCTGAAAACAACTGATACTGAAAAAGCTTCAGACTGTTGACTGTAAGGATAAAGTCACCAGCCGCAGTATTAGAGCAAGTCACAAGCGGACGCTGCTGGCATGACCTGAACCCTCTCCCTCCCCTCCCCAGTGCAGTCTCAAGCTCCAGTCAACATCCCTGTGTCTTGATTCTGTTTTTCTTCCACTCCAGCCCCTACCAGCCTATCCTCCTCCTTTGCAGGTAGCAGTCCAGTAGGTGACTCTTGCATCACTCCCTGCTTGTCCCCACCTGGCTCTCACCCCGTTCCCCAAATGCACCGTATTCACAGGGCTTTGCAAATGCTGTCTCCTTCTCACCATCCCCACCATATTGGCCAAATAAATGTCAATGTTCCGAGGAAGTGAAAAAATCTTTCTCTCCTCAGACTTCTTAAAACAATTCTTTTCTAAGTAGCTCATTTGCCCCTCGCATCTTACCTTGTGATATCCCTTTATCACCTCTATTCATCTGAGGACATGGGGACTGGTAGAGTGCTGGAGACAGCTCCATGAACGCAGCCTGGACCTCTAGCCCTCACAACTGCCTGGAGGGAGATGTGTGTGAACCGCTGTGGAAGAATGTGAGTGTGAGGGCTCCTCGTATGATGCAGTGAGTGGGAAGTGACAGGCTCTGTCTGGAAGAAAGGAATGAGGTCGGGAAGGGCCTCACTTCAGGTAGGCCTTGAAGCACAAATCACCCACCAGGCAGAGAGACACAGAGAGCATTTTAGGGGAAAAGGAATATGGGTGCAAGTCCGAGGGAGGAGGGAGGGTCTGGAGGGTGCAGGAAATGGGATAGCTGTGTCTATAACAGTGCTGTCCAGCAGAAATACAATGCGACCCACAGGGCTGATTATAAATTATCTGGTAGCCACATTTTTTAAAGTGAAAAGACACAGATTAAATCAAATTTAATCATATATTGTACTTAACGAAATATACACAAAATGTTATCATTTTGTCACATAAAATATATTTAAAATATTGAGTTGTTTTATACTTTTTTTGTACTCTCCTTGAAATCCAGTATGTACTTTATCCTGACAGCACATCTCAGTTCAGATGAGCCCCATTTACAGTGCTCAGAGCCCCATGCGGCCAGTACCTTCCCTATGGGAGGTGCAGGACTACAGCAGAGGGTGTGTGAGTGGGGGTGGGGGGCATGCGGTGGGTGGGAAGGCTGGAAAGGGGACAGGGCCAATTTGTAAAGGGCCTTGAATGGCATGGTGTCCAGGTTTGAAGAGTTAGGTTGGGCAGTGATGTTCTTCACATGGGAGAGGAGGCTGTGTTTCTGGCGGACGGCTGGGCGGCTGGGGAACTCCCGAAGCCCAGAGACAAGGCGGGAGGCTTGGTGGGCTTTGTGTGGGTGCTCCCCTGCTGGGGGTCCTGTCCCTTTCTCTCCACCAGCTTCAGCCCTGCTCACCCCGGAGCCTCCACTGCTCCGTCGGCATCCGATTGGTTTGTCACAGTTCCCCGTATCCTCTTCCCTGTAATTTAAAAATGTCCAACTTCCTCACTAGACTGTAAACCTGCACAGTTGCAGGTTGTGATAAAAACAAAACTTCCCCCCGACCCCTCGCCGTAATAAACAACTTTGTTACAAAAGCCACCTAAGGATAGTGTCACTGTAGAGTGTGGGTGTGACACAAAACCTAAAACCTGGTGAGGAGTCTGCGTGTCTGAGCTCCCGTCACTAGCAGCGTGCTTTACTGCCCGGTGCTTCCGTGAGCTCCCCGGTGAAGGTGGGAATTACCAGGTACCTGCTCTGTGGGGACTGAGAGGGTTAAAGGAGTAATTCTGTTAAGTCCCAAGCACTTTGTGCCTAGTGCAGACTGAACACTCAATAAATGTTAGTTATGAATGCTTTTTTTTATTACTATTGCTACCATTATCTGAATTATAAGCATTTAGAGCAGGTGGAAATGGGTGGGGTACCACAATCATAGCCTTCATTTGTAAATTCATAAATTATCTGTTGTCGTGTGAAAGGAATTGGAGCCCTTTCTGGAATTTCAGAGAGCCCATCAACACGTCTTTCTTATCTCAACTCACAGGGAGACTGTGGTGGAGAACCCCAGTGCCCCTCAAGTCCACGGTCTCCCGTGGTCTACTCTCCTCCAGTGTGAGCAGGCCTGTGAATGTGATTGAACTTCAGTCCATGACTAGCCTACTGATGACCTAAGTCAGAGGGAGATTATCCTGAATGGGCCTAACTAACATTAAAAGGAGGTGACATGTCAGAAAGTCACTGCTGCAGTCCTGGGAGAGGAGAAAGCAAACGGCCATGACAGAAGGGGCCACGTGGAGACAGCTGAGGGGGACCCCGATGTCCACCTACAAAAACTGGGACCTGAGTCCTACAGGCTCAATGAGGCTGGGAGATGATGTCAGGTGAGCGTCCCCAAGGAGACCATAGTTCAGCCAACACCTGCCTTGCCTTACTAGGCCCGAGCAGAGGACCCAGCGAGGCTGCGCAGACAGCATCTTCATCATTGGCAAACACTGAAGTGGGGCCTGCGACTCGGTGCGTGGCTTCCGCGGGGAACTCTACTATGTACCAGGTAATTGAGACCTCCCCCATGAACATCAGGCGCCCTTCACGGGCACGGAGCTGCCGCAGGGGCTCCTGAGGGCTGAGCTGTATCAGTGGATAAGTTGCATCGTGGAGACGAGCATGAGGTGCAGACAGGATTAACTCACCACCACAAAAGGCTTCCCAAAGGAGGAGACACACAAACTGGGCTCTGAAAGATGCTCAGGAGTTTTGCGACAGAGAGAGACCATGGCACAGTGTGTTGAGCGTGCGCAGCAGCGGGACAGCCAGGCACGGACCCCGGACCCCAGACCCCAGGAGGGAGAGGAGCTCTGTTTGCAGTGCACAGGAGCTTTAAGTGCACGGTAGAAGCAAAGTAAACTACAGTTCTTAAGCAGGGAGGGGAATTAATCAAATCTGCATTTAAATTGGTCATTTGATAGAAATAGGGACTTTTAGAAATAATTTTGGAAATAATTTCACATTTAGGTGACTATGTGAGTACAAAGAACTCCTTTGTCTCCATCACCCGGACCCCCACTGTCAGCCTCACCAACGCTTGCTCCCACTAGCCTGTCACCTGTCTGTCCTTTACTGTCTATGTGCACACACTTACATAAGTCGTCTTCTAAATCACTTGACAAAGAGCTTCAGATATGGTTACCTATCACCCTGAAACAGTCCAGCACCTATTTCCCCCAGACAAGGACAACCTCCACCCCACAACCCTCCCAGTCAAGAAGTAAACAGCGACCAACTCTGCTGTCTAATCCACAGACTGTCCCCCAAACACTCAGGAACTTACACTGCATGCAGTTTTACATTGCATTCAGTCTCCTGGGACCTGGAGAAACTTCAGTTTCTCAGTAAAAAACCAGGGGGCCCCTAACACCGCATCTCTGCATGAGTTCCCAGCCACACATGGATCCAACTTCCTGGCAGAAGTGCCCCAGAAATGCTGCTGGGCTCCTCTCAGCACAAAGAATCAGGTCTCAAAAACTAACCTGGTTCCCCCACCCGCCACTGGCAACAGGTAGCTGGGTCCTGACTGCCGGCTTTTCCCTTTGTGATTGATATGTCCCTTGTAGCAGGTGTTAGAACCTCCCCCTGCCATCCTTGGCCTCCACTGATCACTCACCTGGCACT